TGTGAGCAGGGAAATCGAACTGGGCATGTTTAGTTTGGAGAAGAGGAGGTTGAAGGGGGACCTCACTGCCCTCAACAACTACCTGACAGGAGGTTGTAGAGAGATGACGGTTGGCCTTTTCTCCCAAGGGAGTAATGACAGGACCCGAGGAAATAGTCTGAAGTTGCAGCAGGGGAGGTTTAGGTTAGATATTAGGAGGAATTACTTTACTGAGAGGAACAGCCTGCCCAGGGAGGTGGTGGAGTCGCCATCCCTGGAGGTATTTAAGAAACATGTAGGTATGGCACTTCAGGGCATGCCCTAGTGGCCGAGATTGTGGGGGTCTTTTGTGTGTGTATGGTTGGACTTGGTGATCTCAGAGGTCCTTTCCAACCATGAAGATTCTGTGATCTTTAAGGATCATAAAGTTCCAACCTCCCTGCCATAGGCAGGGACACCTCCCACTACACTAAGTTGCTCAAAGCCCCATCCAAGCTAGTCTTGAACACCTCCAAGGATAGGGCATCTACAACTTCTCTGGGCAACCTGTTCCAGTGTCTCACCACCCTCACAGTAAAGAATTTCTTCCTAATATGTAATCTAAATCTCGCCTCTCAGTTCAAAACCATTACCCCTTGTCCTATCACTGCACTCCCTATCACTGCACTCCTGCACTCATCAGGGATGATAAAGAGTCCCTCCCCATCTCTCCTGTAGGCCCTTTTCAGGTACTAGAAGACTGCTATAATCTCTCAGTAGAGCCTTCTCTTCTCCAGAAGGAACAATCCCAGCTTTCTCAGCCTGTCTTCATAGGAGACATGCTTTAGCCCTCTGATCATTTTTGTCACCCTCTGCTGGACCCATTCCAATGTGTCCATGTTCTTTCTGTGCTGAGGAATCCAATGCTGGACATAGCACTCCAGGTGCGGTCTCATGAAAGCAGAGTAGATGGGTAGAGTCATCCTGTCAACCTGCTGGCCACGTTATCAGCTTTAAGTCTTCTCCTTCCCAAGCACTCCAACTATTGATTAGAAGAGAAGCAGTAATGTCTTCCACTTCAACAGCCATTTTGTCATGAAAGGAAAGAATAAGGCTGCTCAGTTCTTCAAAAACAGCATCAGAGTATGTTCTTCAGAGGATGGTTTTAGGCTGTGAAAGGGAAATGTCTGAAAGGCCTTTCTGCTGCTAATGAGATACAATAAACCCAAGAAAGAAGCAGTGTTTGAGATTTTTCTTCGTGCTTTGCATTTTGGTTGCTAACTAAAGTGACCTTTTGGTTCCTTTTGGATACTACTATGAAGGAGCTAACTTTCCTAAGTACTTTTTATGGGGTCTTACCTAAGGTTCTGGAGTTCATTCTCAGGATCAGCTCCATAAAACGTATTAAGTTTTAGGTACCAGGTGCTTAAAAAAATTGGCCCTAGGTGACTAACGTAAGATACCACTCTGAATCAGCAGCAGAACAATTAAAAGATCCCAAATTACTTGAACCTGGTTGTGCTCACAGCATTAGTGCATGAAATGTATGAAAGAGTCTCATCATCTTCTGTAATAATTATAACCAAATGAGCAGCCGGTGACAAAATTACATGAAAAGATCCAGAGTTTGTCAGCTCATTGCTCTTACAAAAGCAAATTCATATGGTAATATGCAGTCTAACTCCTCTGTGGATAGAAGCTGCATATACAAGGATTCATGTTAACATCTAGAACAGGAGGAAGGCCTTTTTAGACATTATAAATATCAGCACTCATCACTATATGCAAGTAGATAATTAGGGTAATTATTCCCAATTAGCAGCTGCAAGCCCTGCAGATGGGAATTTCAGGGGCTGGTAACTATTGTAAGAGAGCATTTCTGCTAGCTGCAAAGCCCTTTTCATGTTTTGGAAAATATACATCTAATGACCCATACATATGCTGTTAAACATTTTTGTTTATATTTTAAAATAAAAATCTTTCCTGCATTAGTATAATACTTCTGCTTTTCTTTGAAGCTATGTTGGGATCTGAGATGGCCTGGATTTGCGAAGATGTTTCCAAGTATTTATCAGTTGAAGTAAACAATGAACCAGGCCAAACTGGGACTCGAATTTTGCATTTGATCTCAGTTCACGAGGAAAAGCAATGTCAGGGGCCCTTTTGTTGGCTTTTGAAGACAGCAACAGGACTCCAGATGTTTTCCTGGGCTCTAAATGAAACCTGAGAGAACACATTGTCAAATTTGTTTGCCAGGCTCCAGAAGCACTTTCCTTGTATTCATTGTATTCTGCTCCTTTGAATGGCTCAAGGGTAAAAGTATATACGTATTTTAATTGTGAGTAATGTTTTTTTGCAATCATAAATGCTTCTGTGATAGTCAACAAGTTACTCTAATTAGAAAGGAATTTTTGGTGTGTTTGTGTGTACCATGAACACATCACAAGCACAAGTGGAACAGGGCTTCTTCGGTTTTTAGATTTTATGTGAATTCATTTAACTTAAGAATTCAGAAAGCAAAAGAAACATAATCAACAAAAATAGTAAGACACGTAACTGTAAGATTTGTCTTCATGAAGGTCCTTATCACAACGAAGAAACATAATTTTTTAGATACTTTAATGTAAAAAATCAGTCATTCCTATCTATTAAAGTAAGATTTCAACTTCAATCAACAAATAAGCCTGTGTTTACTCATTTAAATCCAGTCCTTATCTACTTATTTGAATATGGAATTTCAGACAAAAGGAAGTTGAGAAACTAATCATTTTTTTGCATTTGGGTAAGAAAAAGGTTATTGATTGATGTCTTTTTAAACTTTCTATTTAATTATCTTCAAGCTAAAATGTAGGAAAGAAATTTCAAGCCAAAATAATTATTTTATGAAAAAGTTGTGAGTTTTTTGAAAAAAGAATATTAAAACTGAACTTAATAGTTCAGCTTTAGTACAGAAAATTACAGTGAAGCTTACAGTGCCTATGTAGATGCCAATAAATGTTTTTTCAGCATTTGGATTTTGTTTTTAGCTATGCTGACATACAAGTAATAAAGAAGATTTAAAAGTGAGAGTATGACTGTATGATATCAATTAATTTTTCTTAATATAGCTCTCTAATTTAAATGTTTACAATTAATGGTGTTGCCAGCTGGGCATTAAAAAAAAAAAACTTAAGAAAATCTATTTATTTTGTTTATTTTAGCAGTCTGGCTATTACAACTATGAGGATATTTAAATACCTTTTAGGTATCCTAGAATCTCAAAAATCTAAAAAAAAACCTCCTCCAACTTTAATCTCATACATACTGGGTCTTAGAAAAGAAATGAGGAAGACATATCACATTTCCGGGCTTCAGGTTTGGGAATATTTTTCATGCTCCCTTTCTAATCACCACCCAAAGCTGAATAATATGAAAAGTTTATGTCTTTGAATGATCTAACCCATATTTCATTTAGATTCACGCTCTGTCATATTACTTTGTATAAGAATATAACTCATAATTTTTTTTCTCTGGCATTTGTCTCTAACATTTTTCTGATCTGTGTGATCTGTTTCATCTCTTCTGATCTGACTTCATCTTCAGTCTCTCTTTTTTCTTTCCTGAGATTGTTTCTTTAATTTAAGATCTCTATCTTGACTTGTTCACCCCCTTTTAAAACTTCATTTGCCCCTTAATCCCTTTCTGGTACTCAAAGCACCAGGTCTGTTCACCTGGTGTGTGGCTAATATGTGTATCTTGAAAGGGACGTAAAGATGACAGGCAGAGCGTGGTAGTTACTTAAATCCCATCTCCAAGGCTGCTGAAACCAATGGGAGCCTTTGCTACAGCTCCGCAGTGAACTCTTCCTGTAGAAGGTCTCAAATATGCTTGATTTGAAAGTCTATTAGACATCCTGCTTTGCAGAAACTCCTTAATGTATGTTTAACTGGAAGTTCAGATTTATAGTATATTGGTAAATAATGCCATTGTACTGTTTAATATATATGAAGTCATTATGTTTATAAAGGATTTGGTGCTGCCAAGTGCATCAGCTCTGGTCCACTGATGTATTCTGTCCCATCCTTCTTTTTAACCATGAGTCATTATAATGGATTTCAGAGAACTGCTTATATCCTTTAAGTTAAGTAAATGCTTAAGTGCGTTTCTGGATTAAGACCAGAGGACTCAGCATCGTGGAAGATTAAACAAAAAGCAAAGAATCAGCAAAACTGGCAGAGACAGGCTGACTGAGTTTATCCATAAGTCTTAAAACCAGGCTGATTTCACTTGGGATTGGAAAAGCTACTCCTGCTCAATTCTCTGCCAGTTTGTAGTGCAGAGAGATGCCCATCTGGTAGCTGTGTGTCATCTGACTACCAGTCTTAACTTTTTGAAAAACCACCTCAGCTTCATGGAAGCAGCATCAACTAAATGGATTAATAATTAACTGGCTATGTTTCTGATATGTTACAACCTCTATGAACTATTTTGCAGTTTCTAAATAAGAAAAAAAGTCAAATTGCGACTTTTGCATATTTTTTTTTTTCACAGAAGTTTACCTTAAATCAGAATCCTAACATTTATGCCAAAATCACAGCTTGGTTCAGCTTAAATACTTCATTCATCTTCCTGAAAAGCAGCCAAAGCCCCATGTAAGGAGAGTTGGTAAAAGACTCTGAAGTGCTCACCTTTCAATTAGTTTTAGGTTTGAGACACCTGATCAACTTACTGTTTCTCAGCTGAAAATCTGCGTGCAAGCTTTGAAGAGGTTAAGCTAAACTACTTCCTGCAATTAAGAACACATCTGCAAATAGATATGCAGCTCACCTCACAAGCCATGACTTGTTTGTTCCTTAGGTTCCAACATTTATAAACTGAAAATTTCCAGTATTGAAGTTGGAATTAAATCGTCTGAGGACCCTAAAGCTTTCTTTCTAAATTATGTGTTTCTGAAGAATAAAAAATTTATGACTTGTCTTTGCAAAAAAAAACCCAGAAGTATGTATTTAAATATATGAAAGAATGATTCACATTTCACATGTGTGTTTTGTGGTCTCCATTAGGTACCTCAGGATGAATGGGGAGGGTACCCAGCTGGTGGGAAAGACGAGGAGATCCCCTGCAGAAGAATGAGAAGTGGGAGCTACATTAAGGCAATGGGAGATGAAGAAAGTGGTGACTCTGATACTAGCCCCAAGACATCACCAAAATTAACAGTTCGACCAGAGTCGTTATTAAAATCCATTGGACAAAGACCACTGGGAGATCATCAAAAGTAAGTTTCGCTGTACCATGTTATACACCTTCCTGAAAGTTGCCGTGATGTGAGTAATTTTTCTGTGTGTCTTACTGGTGGTGGTCAGTGTCCCTGAGAAAATATGATACTGTGGTTATAAAGCTAACTTTTGTGTCTTTGTTTTAAATTAGCTACAGTTTCTTGTGGTTGCTGGATGAAAAATGGGAATCTTCTTCCATCCATGTAACAAATCTGCTACTTCAGAAAGAGTTTGTTATATTTACTAAAGGAAATATATCTGTCTTTTTATCAGAAGTTTAAAATTCTGAATATTTCTTCTCTAGAAGGATCGGTTTATATTATAATTATTTGTTATATCGTAGCTTTCTCTGAAATAGAAAATACACTCTATTTTATACTAGGCATAATAACAAATATATAATTTTATAATATATTTGACATCTCACCTTTTTATTGATACAATGCTTTATGTATCAGCTATACTGTATCATACTCATTTAAACACATTGTGGAGTGTTTTGTTTGGGTTTTTTTTTCATTCATACTACATATAATATGGCCTATTAAATAACTAAAGCAAATTTTAAAACTATAGGAAAGTATGTAGTCATTTATGTTTTCCAATAGATCTTTATTTTTCTCTCCTTTTTATCCTTTCAACATACCATTTTCTAACTAAACTGTAAGTATACTTCTGAAGACAGTTTCAAAGTGGTAGCCTGATTTCAAATCTGCAGCTTCTATTAATGTGACTGGGTGTTTCTCATGGCTTAAAAAATTGATCTTTTTGCCCGGGAGAAATACATAAAATGAAGAAATTAAGAGTGAAACCTTTAATCAAAGGTTATTTATTGTTCTGTAGGTAATAGCATGTATAGTATACCATAGTGATTCACCTTCCCATGAAACAAACAAACAAAAACCTTAGTCAAAAATCCTTTTTGGCTTAATTCAATTTAATTGTTTAGTTTGGAAGAAAACCACCAACTTTCACTATTCCCAAAGAGAACAGTTTACAACTATATTGTTTGGTATGACTTGCTCACGTATCTCTATACGCTCAATTCAGATGCACAAATGAATGTGTCTATACCATGAGCTGCTGGAAGATTTCTGGGGTACCATGAAACAAATCTGACAGGTCTCTGCTCTCGATTGGCAACTAAAAATCCAGGCAAGATACTTCATGGAATCTCAAAGGGTGCCAGAGACCTATATTTGGGCAACTGAACTAAATTTTGAACCTGTATCTGAAGGATTTCCTACAATATTAGTTCCAATGATGAAAACATGGGCTATAACAAAAGTATTGCTGGCAGGCTGTACCTGGCTGATTTCCAAAGATGAAAGGATGAGTCCTTAATGACAGTGGTTGGAAGCAACATTTGAATTTTTGATACCCTCAGTCATTGTATCTGGGCTGAATTTTTATTTTGAGGGATGTTGGCTACATTGACTAGTTTTGTCTGAATTTGAGGAGGTTCCCAGGAAACAAAAAAGGTGGTTAATTTTCAGCTTGTTAGTGTGTGTCAGTGGGAGTAGAGGTCTTTCAGGATGAGGAGCCTGAAATTTCTCAGCTGTGGTAGAGACATATTGTGAATTCTTCAGTCCTGGATTTTCTTGTAAATGGATCTTAAAGCTGTGGGTCTTGCAAAAGGGCAATTATCCTTGTGGGATAAGACTTGCTAAGGGAGAGTGATCTAACCTCTGTGGCTTGTTAAGAGTGACCCTTCTGAAAGCAATGTGGAAAGAGGAGATAATGGACTTTCTCCAACTTCCACAGATTGACCGGCGGCCTTCCTCCTGGTAAATTAGACATTTCCAGAACATAGAAACCTGGCCATATACACTGAGGTTTTGGAGTGGTCCTTGGCAGACTTGTCGTCTGGGTTCATTAGCACTGTCCTGGTCGTGTTCTGGGCATTGGTGTAGACCAGAGATTATTCCCAGAAGGCAGTTTGGATGCAGCCATCCTGCTTTGGAGGGTATGTCATATCCATATTAGCAGCGTAAACTAAAATCTTAGGGCCGGTTCTAGCTTTCCAAACAGTTAGACCAAATAAAACATATTGTATTCTGTCCTTTGGGTTTGGCTATGGTTGGGCCTTCCCCAGGTGAATGTAGATAACCGCATGAATTTTCCGGTGAGCGGCAGGTCTCAGTGCCTGCCCTAGACCCCCATAGCCTGTGAACAGATCCAGACAGCATCTAGGCACACATATTCAAACAAAGAACGTGTTTCAAGAAAAAAGTCTTTCTGATCTGTTAAATCCTGAAGGCAGGTGGTTACTAGCAGGTCAATACCAAATGGTGTGTCTTCTGTCAGTTTTCCGTGTATTGCAAATGCACCACTCAAAACAGAATTGATTAACACAGGGGTGTGATGCTGATGAAGTGCACTGGGGCTGACAGCTGTGCCTGTTCATGGTCCCAAAAGATTTAATGGCATAGTTACCACTAACTGCAGTCGGAAAAGGAGGAAGCTTCTTGTAATACTGCGAAATTTTATTAGGGGCTCTGTTGAGAATTTGTTGCAAGCGCTGCACATGGAATAATTGAGCAGCGGGGCTGCTGCTGGCAGATACGTTTTAAATCCTCGTTTTTTCCCTTAAACTGAGGGGCAGCGCCTTGAATCTCCCAGCCTAACATGTGGTTTTTTCCAGTGAACTTCAGGCAAAAATGTGACAACTACTCCGGTTGTTGTATGTCTGTCTTGCAAAAATCTGCACATTTCAGCAGCCTTTAAGCAGACAGAAAATTTCTTGACTCACAGGAATACAAAGAGCTGATCCTAAACCTGGGTTTTCACCACAAGCCATCTCCTCCCAGCATGTCTCTGTCTCCCTGTTACTGTTGTTACCTTTTCTGCCTGGTGGATTTCTATGAAGGATGTAGCAAGAGATGATGGTTATGGAGCTCTCCTGCCCCCTCCTCAGAAATCCCTGTTGCATGCTGAGTACCCTTTGCACTGCAGATCATGCTGCTGAGCCAGAAGCCAAGGTTTTGAACAGCATTCCTGCATGTATAGCAGGGCTGAATAGCATTTCTGGCATGTATTATGAGAAATCACATAATGCAAGATGTCAGCTGCATTAGCTGGCTTTTTAGCTTGTTTACCAGGGTGGAGGGAGCTAATGCACAAAAATAAAACGGGGCTTATACTCTCTTAGTCTTCTGCTTGGGTGGACAGGATAGCTTGGAACTGGGGGCTGACACAGCAGCAGCAAACTGGCAGTATAAAAACATGAATTGGCTGCAAAATGTATGTAGATGGTTTTCATAAGAATGAGCATCTTTCACTATCCTGAGCAGGATAAAATGAAAATTAGAAACTCCTTCACTTAACCTTCAACAAACCTTTGACATGTGTGCATGTTTCTCCTCTGAGTTGTATTAGGCATATTTACAAGGATTTTTTTTCCCATTTAAATTCTGTTTCTACTTTGGCAAAAGTAAGCCCCTGTTTTGTTGGGTTTTGTTGCTCAAAGATTCAGCAAATTGCACATTAAAAATTCATAGACAATAAAATGCGTATTTGTATCTGAATAAATAATTTTATTTAACAACTGACAAATAGGTAAATGTAACTGATTTAACAGAAGCATTAAAATTCTGAAATAATTTCTTTTGAGTTACTCTTGGAAAGGAGTATATTTTACTCCAGGTGGGAATAAAAAAAAGAAGTGCAAGGTCTGACCACTGCTGCTTTAGGCAGATGGCAGAAGCAGGGCACATGCCAAACCACTGCCATCTGATCACCAGTTCTGGTGAGTCAAACTGGTAGCACAGCCAGCATGATTCCCAGCCCAGACCACCTAGATACTTCTTCTAGGCACCTTTCAGGGACTAACCCTGTTGAATGCAGCCACCCTCTCTATAGGATAAAAAAGATTAACCCTAGAGGTCAGTTGGCCGAAGGGTCAGGTAATGGGCCTAGCTTATTTCTGAACATTAGCTGAAGTGACTGAAATTTTGCTGGATTTTTCAAAAATTAAATGCACCTAAATATCTAGATGACTCACTGAAGATAAATGGATTTCAATCCTTTCTTTGTGAATGCTGTTTCAAAGAACTAAATGGTATCTTGCACTACTTAGTCCTATAACATTAAGTCGAAGGCCAGTGTAATTTATTAGTATTATTAAATTGCATTTGAGTGAAATATAATGCAATGAGGCTTGCTGTGGTGGAGACAGGACACATACTTGAATCTGCTTCCTTTCCAACCTTTTTCTTTCTTGGAACAGTGCCAGCAATCCCATTTATTGTGGAAATTATTTTGACTCCCAGCAGTCCCAGGAGAAAAAAAAGTATTAAACTTTGTTATTATTTTTTTATCTTACATTATGCTTAGACATACAAAATCTTTTGGATGTCAGTTTTGGTATCCTATGAACAAATACAGGTCTTCTGGAGGTGAAATGCAAGCCCTTTCAATTTAGTCAGTTGTTTTCTGCCATGCTGTGATGCCACTAGGGATGGACTTAAACTGTTGGAATGTAGTTGGCAGAAGGTGGCTTGTAGAGGGTAGGCAGCGTGCTGCGAGGTATTTTCATTACAGTAAAGGTCAAAATACCTGAAGAGTTTGTGGAACCGGTAGCTGAAACAAAGGGAATGTTTGTCCTAAAAAAGTTTTATGCAGTCCTGGAAGAGAGACTGACCCACACGATTTGTAAGGGTATCCTTCCAACCTAGTAAATGTCATTTCTCTGTATTTCTGACAAAAATGAGTGGAGCTGAGAGTTGGAAGCATCCGAGACACTGGGAACCAGAAAGGAAAGCTGAAAAGAAAACAAGAATTTTGGATTATGTATATGATGGAAAAACAATTCTATGACTGAAGATAATGTTCCGGTTATTTGATGCTTCTCATTTTTGGGAAAAGAGTACTTAATATACCGATTATGTAAATGAACAGGATAGCACTGTAGAAATAGCAAGTTCCATTTTCAGTATCTCTTTTTTGAAGTGTTGCAAAAGACTCTGAAAACTGTCTAACCATTTAGTCAAAAGGCATA